CAAGCAGATGCTTGTTAAATTTATCTCCTAGCTACAACACAACTTATATTAAAATTTATTCATATCATAAATATGATTTAGAATTAATAAACTGCATTAATGAACAATATCATTTTCTATTCATCGCAATGGCCAGGACTCAAACCTTATAGGAAACACTTTGAAATAGCTTTTTTTATTTCATCATGACGTCGCTAAGTATTTCGACATGTAGTTAATAATTCATGAAAACATACGATTAGGAAAAACAAATAAATGAACATAAACTGAAATGGACATGTTTGTGTCTGTTGTGGTATTGTTAAAATATCTCAAGGGCTTTCTTGGGATTCGCAACAAATCACAACAGAGTAACGTAGTTCGGTTAAAAATGTCCTCGTCATTGGCGCATAGTGTTCTCATTTAAGTTGTATTGTGCACTGTACATGTACAATGTTCTAGGATTGTCACTTAGTAATTAATTAAAAACAATTGAACAAAAGTTGGAATTCCCTGCAATAAAAATATATGGTGTACTTCTATGCTTGTGGATTCTTGTTACAGGCTAACACTGTACAATTTCTTTTGTTGCTTGCTATATTGCTATGTCATCAACAAAGCCATAATAAAGCAAAAAAGAAAAATTGAAATGCAGAATTCGTAATCAGAGCACAGCAATGTACATAAGCTGCTGTTTTCAACTTTATCCTTTAACGTCTTTCCTGTGATGCATAATCACATAGTCACATATCATCATGTCAGTGGAAAATTTCTTTGTTACAGCCGACACCATCATAGAACACCGATCTGCGAGAGTCATCACTGATCACCTGTACCATATTAAGATAAATTAATGTCTTGTGCGATATTAAAAATATCTAGATTCAACTACGTGTAACCTCAACTTTTGTACTATTGGGTCTGGGGCAGTCGGTTTAATTTGTAAAGTGCACTTTTCTGGATTATGAACGGATATACGAGATCAGCTTATAACATTGTGTCTATTGAAAAGAAGCACTCATATTATATTGTGCATGTCCTTTATGCTGGGAGTTTAACGCTTTGTCAGCTGTGCTACATTCATATGGATGTCAGCGG